TTTTTTTTTTCAGCGATAGGGATTTTATAAAATGTACAAATATATGAACAAACGAAATAACACAAAGCTCAAAGGTATATCCAATAGCCGAAAAAAATGGGAAGACAAATCCGAAGATCGCCTAGAAATTATGCTAGCAATACTAGACAACACACCCACAACACATAAAAAAACTATAGAGCTCCAATAATGGAAAACCAACGATCCCACAAGGGATATAATACTTGCTCATACTCAAGCTAAAAAGCAAAACCAAAAGACACAATCCCAGCAAAACACAAAACCTAGAACACAAAAACAAACAAACACAATAAACAAACAAGTAAACTAAAATAACCCTTCCCCAACAGACAAACCAAAGATAGCACGAAGCACCAACGGATACATGGCTAACCCCAAAAGATTGGTACACATCCTGAGAAACCGCTCTCGAAACTGCCAACAAACTCCTAACTGAAGCTGAAACCCAAACTCCAAACCAGTCTAGGAAGCCCATCCAACCCACAACTGGAGGAACACCAAACTCACTCCCTCACACCACCACTACCCCGAACCCGGCTAACACCATTGGCCAAGTTCGGCGGCACCGGCCTCCTCTCGAACCCCACGCCAGGGAAAATAGAGGAACATGGAACGAGTTAGACGCCTCAGCCCCGACAAAGACGCCGCAACAGCCCGAGCCACGGCAACTTCCAAATTCACACCCCACCCGGAACCACCTCAACACCATGGACGCCAGTGCACCACAACCACAAGACGACACAAGAAAATAAGAGAAAGTTTGGTCGTAGATGGCCGCCTGCATCCATTGGCATGAACAGAACAAAGAAGAGCGAAAATCAGGGCATCGAACGTACAACCATAGGCCAACCACAGGCGAAAGCTTGGCTAGCCGCTGAGGAATGCGTGCTAGCAGCTAATGAAGAAGACGGAAGACGACGGAATGTGGGAAATTAGATTTTTTGTTTTCCTCCCAAGAAAACTTGAATGTGGTCAATTCTACTTCTATGCCTGAATGGGGGTGATTGAAAACAAATAAAATTATTTTAACTGGATTTTTTGCATAAAGTAAGGCAATTTTGAATAAAGTTGATTCAGTGAAAGATTGGATGAGATTTTGAGTTTTTATTTAATAATATTTAAAATGTAATGATTAAAATTGATGTGATATAAATGTAGAAAATGAGTAATTGTCAAAGAAGGGTAGTTAAAAATATATGAGCAGATGAATAGTGACTTTTGTTGATGTGATGTGATGATTATTGATCGATATTATTTCATTATATTGATAAAAATGGGAGTTAAGTTGAATTCAAGTTGAGTTGATTTTTTAGTTTAAATGTGAAAAAATTATTCGAGAAATAAAAAAAGGGTATCCAATCGTGTATTCTCATTCTATTCATGTTGAAAGACAACCAAGGGTAGATGTGGCCATTCAACAAT